TAGTAGTACTTTCCGACATCATTTAAATTCTAAAAACATCCAATCTTTAAAACATCAAAATCTTGACGGAAATAATTTTTTACATAATTTAAATCCTTTAAACATAAAAAAATTAAGAATCGCGTATAAAAACTGATGTCCAAACTACAGTGGCGGCTTGTGGCAGGTGGTTTTAACCAAGGTGGATGGGCAAGACTTCAATATATATGAAAAAGAGAATTAGACCGCCCATCTAGACTACTCTCGTAACTATTTTCCTAATTTAAAAAATCAATCCGTGAATATCTATGTCTTACGTCAGTTTTTAGATGGCGTGGCAATGAAAAAACATGTTTTACATACCCTAGATTACAATGTCCATGAACGGATACTTGAAAACTGTTACTTTTTTTTAAAGATAATACCACGATTTTCACAACGACGAAAATTCTAATTTACGAAAAGTTTAGAGCGAATTGCTAGCAACAGTCACTTCGATCTCCTGTAACACTAAATACCTTACGAGAATCGACTTGTTGTCTCATAACGATACGCAGTAGAGCCCTCCTAACAATGTAAGATGGTTACACATACGAATGCACCAATTTTTTTTTTGGACTTTTGGCCAGGGTTTTCCAAAAATTGGCCACTGTGCGTTGTACTGCTTAATATTGTTACTCATTAGGAAATTGTAGATAAGTTTTTGCATATGTTTGTATGAATGTATGTACATATGTAGAATATGTGCATACATAAATACATATGTACATAAGTAGTTGATAATGACGATTGTGTATATAATTACTTTTTGCAACATTTACCCATAAAGTAGCTGTTTTGCTTGAATTGTTTTCAGTTTATTTACGGCAGTGCACACCAACGAACTGGCCGTTTTGAGCGAAATGTATCAAATTACGAATATAGTACTTGTGAGATTTTTACTATTATTTACAAGTTTTCCCGCTTTCCGAAATGTGTTTGTATCAGCCGATCCCAATATAATATCGAAATCGCAATGGAATGGCGCTGAAGCGGTCAATGAGCTCACACGACAATCTTTGCCAGTTGGACGGGTAATTATTCTACACACAGCCGGTGTCGAATGCCAAAATGCGGTAAGGCAATGGAATTTATTTATTTATATTTTACATATTTTATTTTTTTTTTTTATTTCATCTCTTACATATACATATGTATACTCCATATACGCATCTACATATTTCAGGATAGCTGCTCTAAGCAAGTTCACAACATTCAAAATTATCATCTACGTAGCTTGCATTTCGATGATATCGCCTACAATTTTCTCATCGGCAATGATGGCAGCATTTACGAAGGACGTGGTTGGGAATTTGTCAGCGCGGCTGTTAAAAATTATAATGTTGGCAGCTTGAGTGTAGCTTTTATTGGCACATTCGAGAGTAGTACACCCAGCACAGAAGCCTTAGAGGCCGCCCAGGCACTAGTCGATACGGGTGTGCGTACGGGAAAATTAACTGAGGATTATAAACTTTTTGGACATCGCCAATTGTCAACAACTTCAAGTCCAGGCGCGACCTTATATGAGATTATCAAGCGATGGCCACATTGGAGTCGTACTGTTAGTTGAAAAAAAATAATAGTTTTTTGTACCGCATATCGGAATCAACATTGCGAATGGTTTTAAGTGAAATTTTTAATATTTTAATAATAATAAAAGGCTTATTTGCTTTGAAAAGTAGTTCGCTTCTCATAAAAAAAACGAAAATTCACTTAGTGCTGTTCGTGATGATGCATGTGTGCATTAGGGAGATCCCAAAATCATCATATTTTCCCTCATATATATAGCATTTTCAGTTTAAATTAAACTTTTTCAAATTAAATAGAACGATTTTCAAATTAAATTAAACCTTTTTAAATTTAAATGAAACTTCTTTTTTTCGTTTACTGTGAATTTGCTTTTCTTTATGGTCAAGGCATATTTAATTATGTATTTATTCAGGAGCTATTAAATAAAATTGAATGTAGATGAGAGCCATGGGCGCAACCAGAATGAGATTAAAGAGTGTGGGAGGGATGGGAGGCTCGAAACTATTAAGTTGCTCGGGCATGGAATTTTACCTTCGAAAATGCTTTTTCTATGGTTTTCAACAAAGGAGAGTATACTGGCAAAAAATTTCGATAAGCATCCATTATTATCTACCATATCTCTTATTTTTTGGGATTTATGATTCCAATGATTATGATTTATTATCGTTAACTAAAAATGAATTTTGAAACTATGATCATGGGCGTAGCAAGATTGGGCGAGTGCTCGAGCGCCCTACTTGCAAGTTGTCATATGGGCGTAGCCAGAATGAAATTTATAAGGGAGCTGGAGAAAAATGCCAGCATTTATATATAAATCCAAAGAAATAAGAAATATGGCGGATAATAATGGATGCTTACCGAAATTTTTGCCAGCATACTCTCCTATGTTAAACCCTATAGAAAAGGCATTTTGGAAGGTAAAATTCCATGACCGATCAATATTAAGGGACACAATTACTGAGCGCAACATACTTAGTTAGTGTAATTGAAGAAAGTATCGCACTAATTAGTCAAAATGACTATGCGAACTATGTTATGGACGTGATCACCCAAATTCCGAAAGCGGCGAATGGGCAAGCTCTTCATTAATTTTATAAACTATGTCTTACAGCCGCTTGCATCATATTTGGTTAACACCAGGTTTGTATAGTAACTTCTCCAGTAAAACATTGCAGCGAGAGCGTAAAAGCAAAATAGAACGTAAAATTGAGAAGAAGAGAAAACTAGTAAAAACTTGCAAGTGAATAGTTGTTGCACCCTTTTGATATTCTAATGTAAACATTTACACAGTCTAGTACATCATTAATATTTTGATTTTTACTCATTTTATTTTACTTTTTTTTGTGATAAACCAATTTAACAAATGGCGGCTTTTGACACTTATTCTTCTTCTTCGTCTGCTAGCTAATTTCTGCTAGGAAAAATTTCACTAGCAAGAATTCGCAGCACTCCCGTGTTGTTACGCTCTCGATTCAGTGCTCTCTTGCAAATTTTTTGGGTTATCATACACTTTTCCAGTAAAAATTTGCAGGTTCCAGTACAAATTAGTACTGACTATTGGTTACTATACAAACCTACTTTCTCCGATTTAAGGCAGGTTGTTCAATGTCTGCTTATTACTACCACTAATGGCTCTTAATAGGTTAAGTTGATTTTCTGTTCCTAAACTCAATAATGTTAATGTTAATGTTATTTTAGAATGTTTCACTCAATTTGAAAAAAGTTTCATTTAATTTTAACAAAGTTTCATTGATTCTGAAAAAGGTTTCATTTAATTTGAAAAGGT